TATATATATATATATATATATTAGGGCTGGGCGATATAGCTAAAAAATGTATCAACGATATAATGTTTCATATCGTTCGGTATCGATAATTATTAAAAAATTTTATAACCTTTTTTTAAAACAAAGCAATAGAATTTTTTTTTTAAATGTAACCACTGTATTTTTAAATTAACCCAATTTACTGAGACAAACAACAAATATTTTTGTTTTAACTGTCAAACACACAATAAAAATTAAACAAATATCTAATTTCTAATGTTTTATATGCAGATTAAATAGGTTTTAAGGAAACTTTTGTCTTGTCTCCCGAGGCCACAGGAGGGCGCAATGAGCAAAATAATGCAGCACATTTAAATTGTAAACACAAGGAAATAAGTCTATAAATCAAATATAATTTTGTAAATTGCATAAACAATTATGAACAAAAGAGCATCATGTATTTATGCATTGTTTAATCCAAAGAGCCGAAATGCCATTCACAAAGACTGCATTTAAAAACATATGAGACGCAGTGAAAAGGAATAAACCTTCACAAATTCGTGACGTGCTTTCTAAAAGTTTAAACCGTTTTAACTTTGCATGGCTTTCTATACATCTCTTGTGTGAGACGCGAGTGCAGCAGACATATTTGTCCATCTAAAAATGCGCTGAATATGCGTTCTGTGTAAATGGCTTGGTTTTGGTTTTAACCTAATCAAGATCTTCTGTGCATTGAGCTTCTATATTTCTATAATATTTTAAATGCATAACGCAGCAACTGCGCGTCTCGTGGGCTAGACTAACAAAACATTAAAATGCAACAACGTCACTTACATCTAGGGCTGGGTATCGTTCAAAATTTTTTGATACCGATACCTTGACTTCGATACCGGTTCCTGAATGATACTTTTTTCGATACCAATTTTATTAAATCAGTTTTAACAAGATTACATTATCTAAAAAAAAAACTTTGGTTTTATTTTTCAGCTTGATGTTTATACAAACTCAAAGACTCATCTCCTGAGCCACTGCACAAAGGAACAAAATGTAACCAACACAATAAATCAGTGCAAAATAGTTTTAATAAAGCTCAAATAGTCTTCAGTTTACACATCTGTTAGGCTACATTTACACTAGTGCGTGTTCGTTTTAAAACGCATAGCTTAGACAGAATCATGATTTCTATTTATTTTCCACTGATTTACTGATGAGCATTAGCAGCTTCCAGCGCTGTCTGCTTGTGTTCTCTCTTCCATGATCGCTGCTCTGACTCAGAGGTAATAACATATTTAATTTCAGCAACATTACATGGCCAAAACACATTTTTGGGCCCCCTTCCCTATTAATATAATA